TGGGCAACTGAGTGAGACTCCAACTCAAAAAAAAAAAAAAAAAGAGAGATGTGGTGGTAGATGGCTGGTGGATGGATGAATGGAGGGTCATAGCTCATTAAAGTATGGGTGGATGCCAAATGGTAAATGGATGATGGCTGAATTGTAGATGGATGATCTGTGGCTAACTGAATGGAGGCTAATGGATAAATCAGGATACCTTGGTAGTAAATAGATAGGAGACTGATGATTGAATTAGACATGTGGCGGATGGATATACGGATGATGCGTGGATATACAGTTGTTAAGTATTTGATGTAAAGCTGTCACACAGTGAGTGATGGATGGATGGTGAATGAATGTTGGATTGATGGGTATCTTAGCGATGTTTGGTGACTGTGTAAGAGGTGAGGGGATGAATGCATAGTGGATGGGTGGTGGCTGGAGAGTGAATGGTGACTGTGGGCGGATGGCTAATGGATGTTGCGTATTAGATGGGGGTTGAATGGTGGATGGTTAGTGGATGGATGGTGGTTGGAGGTGGATGATAACTGGGATGGATGATTAATGGATGCTGGATATGGGAAAGGGGTTGAATGGTGACTTGTTAGTGGATGGGTAGTGGTTGGAGGGAGATGGCGACTGCAGATGGATGATTAATGGATGTTGGATATTGGATGGGAGTTGAATGGTGGATGCTTGGTGGATGGAGAGTGGCTGAAGGTGGGTGGTGACTGAGATGGATGTTAATGGAAGTTGGGTGTTGGATGAGGTTGAATGGTGGATGGTTAGTAGATGGATAGTGGTTGGTGGCGGATGGTGACTGGGATGGATGGCTAATAGATGTTGGATATTGGATGGGAGTTGAATGGTGCATGGTTAGTGGATGGTGGTGGTTGAATGGGGGAGGGTAGACAGGATTGTGGCCGGGATGGACATTAGGCTATTACCGGATGTCAGATGGTTGAGCGGAAGTTCGCCGTTGGATGGTCATGGTGGGTGCTTCACAGTGGAAGATTTGTGCAGATGAGACTATGCACCTTGGTCTCAGGGGTCAGGCTTGAACACCAGCTGAATAAGAGAAAACGTCCGGGGTTACTTTGCTCCTTTTCTTTTTTTTTTGAGTTGGAGTCTCACTCTGTCACCCAGACTGGAGTGCAGTGGCCGCTCCCGGCCCCCGCAGCCTCGACCTGCTGGGCTC